TCATTTAAACGCGGGAACGGATCCGGCACACTCGTGACGTCACGGAACATGACAAACCTGCGGGGCGATTATTGAAACTGATAGACAAAGCTATAGACAAAGGAAACATAGAGAGTATGAAGCGATCCTATTGGTTGAAACGAATAATTCTCATAGACTAAGGGAGAAAATGATGGACTAACTATCGGGTCTCTAGTGGGTTGCCGTTAGTTAGTCAATTACCTACCTCCTTTGTCCATTGCAACCTGCCACTTCCACCAATAGCATCCCTCCATACCTCTTTTTTCTTCTTTGTCTATAGCTTCGTCTATCAATTTCAATAATCGGCCCGCAGGGTTCTTCATCAAGCGGCTGCCAATTCCTTACGGAGAAATACACTGTAAACGATGAAGCGACCAGGTTTGTCATGTACTGTTGCGCCACGAAAGCAGTAGATCTGTTCCCGCGTTAACGTGATCGTTTTGAAAATCCAAATTTTGAGGCGTTTTTATGTTGATTTTTTGGGGGTTTGCAGAGATAAAAAAAAAAACCCAGGAAAATTCCTGTGACACCATGATCCTAAGTTCTGTCAATAGACGGATAAAAAAAATCGTGCGAGAGGCCCATTCCCTGATTTTGAGTCGAGGGAGAGCTCATGCTAATGAGATGGCCGTGCTAAGGAAGAACGCCGTATGAACATTCGAGTGTTGCCAAATTTCCTTATTTTTGAAAAAAGTTATCGATATTTATCCTTGAAATTTTTGAACTAGGTATTTGGATCAAATTACGAAGGAAATTCCCTGAAAAATCAAAAGAAAAATAATTACAAATATTCGGGAAAATTCGTGATTTACTAAAGGAACTTTGGCAAGGCCTAGAGGCTCATACGGCGTTTTTCCTTCGGACGGGAGCATGTTTAGGGTGTTAGGGTAATCCCTGCGGCTGGCGCATAATGGAAAATGTAAGTGATCCGCGGTTTTCTCGCCACCTCCGCCGACTACGCCGCGCCGTTGAAAGCTTCTGATTAATGTGCGGTCCGCAGAGGCAGAGAACCTGGCCGACCTTTCGCGGGAGAGCCATTTTCGCCGACGGATCAGCTTCAGTTTTCACCTGCTGCCGACCTTCGACCTATTTGACCCCTCTTATAAACGCAATTAATCCTCTTCCATCCGAGCAATGCTGCCGTTCTAAGGAAGAACGCCGTATGGGCCTTCAGACGTTGCCAAATTTCCTTCGATAAAAACCCAATTTACTGGGAAAATTGTGAATATTTTTTCTCAACATTTTCAGACAGTTTCGTATGCAATTTGATCTAATATATCTGAAAATTTCAAAGAGAAATGTGTACGAATGTCGTCAAAAATACATGTTTTATCTAGGGGAATTCGGCAACTCATACATGTTCATGCGACGCTCTTCCTTAGCACGGCAGAATGAGTCTGTTGCACGCAAGAAATACACCTTGCGAACATGCACTGAAATCAAGTTACAGGTTAGCCGTACGGTCCGTTCCGGGCTCCGAGACCAGGAGTTCCGGGTGCTGGAGCCGTAGCTTCGATTGCTCCGGGTGCTAAGCCCGAAACTTTCAGCCTCTGAGCCCGGAACGGACGGTATGTCTACATAGCCCATTAACTACGGCTTCCACGGCCGGAGTTCCTTTTCCAGTGTTTAAGGGCACGAAAATCGCGATGGACTCATGGTAAGCCTAAAGGAGCGGTTTGAGCAATGGACCACTAGACAAGGTACGAATTTCAGCATTCAGATACATGTCTCTTAACCAAAATTTCACGTATAACACGACATGCACAACGAAAATTACCGAAATCAGTACCTTACGAAGATATTTTATGATTCTTGATGCGTGAATTCAAACCATCCGCTCATGAAAACTCAATGCTCAACGTGATTCACATCGCGCGCTAAACGTTATCATGACAGTCTCTGCGATATAAAAATCTGGCAACCTCAATCTTGACGCTTTGGCTCAGCTGTAGCAAATTGCTAATAGTTTGGACAACGTATGGTGGGAAATGAACATTGCTCGATTGAGAGGCTTGCTGAAACCGTTGTAGTGCGCGACTTGACTCACGTAGAGCCTTGAGTTTCTTGTGAGCGGGCAGTTCAAATTCCTCGATTTCAGTAATTTCCGTTGTGTGAATCGTGTTCTGCGTGAAATTTTGGTTGAGAAACATGTCTCAGATTGCTTAAATTCGTACCTTGTCTAGTGGTCCATTTGGAAGACGCCTCTTCAAATTTCCCTCGTCTGGGGGCAGTTTTCTTCCCGCCCGAAACTGGGAGACGACGACTTCCGGCGGTCTCCGTGGTTGACGGTATAAGTCGCAACTTGCCAATTTCTGGATGTTCTTTTTCTTATGTTTACGAACGAAACGTGATCTTTGATAGTCGATAGTGGCCCATGCTTGGAGTTGTTACAGAAGCGTATTTTCGTTGATGATCGATCGAACAAAAATGGGTGGATTATGCGGGTTCGTGTTTTGTTTGGTTTGACGCGATCATCATTTTTCGGAACAACATCGGGACTCACCGGACGGATAGAAGCTGGAATTCTCTCCGAGTCTCCCAGTTAATTCTAAATTTGAGGCTTTAGGGGCCCTGTTACACAATTACAATTTCTTTGGAATTAGGGGTCTTAAAGACACTGAAGAGGATTCAAAAATAATACAACTAAGGAGGAAGAAGTAATGAACTTGAGGAAAAATCGCCNGGGGGGGGGGGGGACACGGCTATGACATATTTTCGAGAGGCGATCGCCTCCTAGCAGTCCTAGCCTTCCTATCCAGTCAACCCCCGCCGCTTCGAAATTAAACATACTATCATAAAATGCTGTAAGTTAGGAGTTCCTGGGAGAGTAGGAGTTTTGTCGTCTCATTAACTTTTCCCTTTTCTAAGGGACAGTTTGCTAGTGGGACAATGCTTGCATCTGAATTAAACTCTGAATCGCTCAAAATCAAGACCATAATACTGCCGTGCGACGTAAAAACGCCATTTTACATTCTTTAGAAACGACATATCATAGCAGAAAAACTTGTGCACCTGCTTGGGATAATGTTTTTACAGAATTCTTTCGCTAATACTATCAAGAACTTAACTTAAAAATTTGAGGTGCATGGGTAAGACATAGTTTTTATGTTATACTTAAAGTGTTAAATTCCAAAAAACGAGGGAAAATCTCAATGGATTAACGGCGTTCTTGCTAAGCATGGCAGGATAAAGGGACGTACTTCTGCCAAACGGAACTATGTGCATTAAGACATGAGCCCTGAGACCCTTAAAAATACATGCATAACAGGGCTCACGTCATAATGCACATAGTTCCATTTGGCAGAAATACGTCCAATGGTTGTATGATCAGGAATTGTTTAAGGGTTCACTGTACTAGTGTCTCCTCTTTGTTCCTTCAGAGAGTTCACTTTCTTCCTGAGAGACGAGAGCCACAGGAACCTACATTGCACTGCAGTGGTACAATTTTATTTGACACTTCTTTCATTTCACTCAAGATTGGATGCAAATTTTCTGCTTATAACTGAATGTTTGTTATATTTTTTTATCTTCCTGCAATGCCTCTTTCAGTACTTGGAAAGTCATTTGACAGTTCTCACTTGCGGTGATACTTTTACTTGTGCGAGACGCGCTTCAGAGCTTATTGGAAATTTGAATCTGATTAACCTTAATAAAAATCAATATAAAAATAATTCATATTGACAAATTAAAAGTCCAAAATGACAATTCATCTCCTACTTTAACCTACTTCAATTTTTTTTGCAATTTTCTAATGTGATCTGTCTAATCTTTCCCCAGCTCTACAGCCTTCAAAAAAAAAAGTTGAATTTCTGCGAGAGGATTACGTTTTAAGTTTTAAACGTACTGCCCACCTCCGTTATAACAAGACAAAATTCCCTCCTAGGGCCCCTTTGACCCACCTCCTAGGGTGGGTCAAAAAGTGGAAGAATGCAAACATTGGCTGAAATGCATCAGGCAACTGATTTAAGATCTTGACTTCAGCAGAGCATTTTTCTCTTTTGCTGATCTTGCAGATCTTGTTTCAAGAGTCGACAGAATCCACCCGCGAACATTTACCTACAAACAGTACACAAATCAAAACAGGTGTACACTTGTTCTGGGCATTGCTGATATGCATGGGGTGACCTCAAGGCATAGATAGCTAAAGCCCAATTCACACTATCAAACTTTTCATTCAACTCTTCAATGCAACTTGTCGAATGAGAAGTTGGATAGTGTGATACTGACGTGAGAAAACGACAATTTGATGAAATATTGAACGGAAACTTGAATGAAACGTCACATTCAACTTTTTGTTCAACTTTCCGTCCAATGGCGGCGCCAATTGGATGAAAAGTTGAACAGAGAGTGATTGAATCAAACTTTTCAGTGATCAACTTTCCTTCAAACTTTTCGTTCAATTGTGTCGGACGAAAATTTTGATAGTGTGCATTAAACTTAAGCTACATTTATGTCTCATTGACATAGTGCTGTTTCTGAATTATAAAAAAAGATTAGAAGAAATTAAAGGGCGAGCAGAATTTACATATGTATGAGGGTAAATATGTGTGCAAATTTCAAGAGAGATTCAACAGAGATTCCGAAAGTGACACTAATTGTTTTCTTAGGTATAAGTCCTTGCAACGATTTGACTTTGATTTAGTCTGCAAATAGGGGGGAGAGTTGAATACCTAAAAAGAGTGCAAGTGGTGTTCAAGGAAAGATGACAGATGGTTCGCCATCAAGTGCTAGCAAATCTGTGGATAATGCCTGACGTTTATAGTGGCTAGAAACATCAAAAGAAGCTCGTTGGTGGGTCAGAGATAACTGAAGCTTTTCATCAATACGACAAAAACACTTGACAGCCACTTGTAAAAAGAGAAAAACACCAACGTCCTCGGAACTCGACTCGGAAAGAAAAGTGAGGTTAGCTCTGACCAGACGGAATTTAGAAGCGACATGGATAGGGCATTAATCAAAATAATTTAAAGATAACTAACCTAATGCGGAGATCCAGGACAAACAATTTCAAGTGAACGAAAAATCCATTTCCAGAGAGCAAACGGAGGCACTAAAACGAGACACGAAGCTCCTTCAGGAGCATTGAACACAGAGAAAAGTAGACTGCTATCGACGGCTTCAATCGGTAAAAAAAAATCTTAACTTAAGGACCAAAAACTTGAAATAAAACGATAGACACAAGCTCGCGAGAAACTTCTTCGTGAGTATGATTTGCAGGGAGAAAACTGGATAGCGAATTGAGAAAAAAACCCGAGGTACAATCACTTTGGGCAAGAACACAGAGGCACTGCTAAGATTATCGTGGAGGAAAATTGATGAACTGGGGCACGATCCGCTGAAATGAGTGCAGGATGTAAAAACATTGGTGCGAGATCACGTTATCACCAAATATCACCTGTTCCGAAGCACCGAAAATTTGAGGATGACGGCACGAATATTGGGAAGAAAATCTGACATGACTTGGGGTTTGGATCAATCTTGATATCGGTATCAGCGAGAGCGAGAGGTCTCGCGATTGCTGCAGTACGGGTACTCGTAGGCGTTGCGTGGCTTCATATAGGCAACAAGGAATACACACCCGGTACGAATGATGCATAGCATCACCACGTCAGGCGGAGACGTCACGTTGGAAGCGAGAGATGGCAAAATAAGATTGGCCAATCAATAGACTGTTTCCTCCGTGGAGCTCGTTTCATTGGTGGCTTCGCATGGCGGCAATACGAACATCGTTCGAATCATCAATTGGATAGCATTCAGTGCGACGCGGCGCGACGCGACAGAGCACGCAAAAAGGAACCAGCCCGATTATAACAGTGTCAAAATTGTGCAACTTCCTCTTTACTTTTAAAAATACTCAATTTGTATACAGTATTAAAATTTACAGAATTATTTTCCTTAAAAATGAACAATTCGTTTGGTGGGAAGCAAAAACTATTTGCTCTTCTGGGAATTTTTTACTTGACTGAAGTGAGCTACAGAGTTACCTACAAAGTTGATGTCCAATGTTCTCGGTCTGTTCTCGGAACAGGTAGTATTCTGAAAGATCCGGAACCTTCATAAACCAGCGGAATTTGTTCCAGGATCAATGTTTACCGTTCATTAATTGAATTAATTATTTAATCCATTTTGGAAACAAATCATCCATTATTTTAAGAGAAAAAGAAAATCAAATCGTCCGTTTTGACGGATTATCGACGGTGAAAGTCGGCGATCACATAACTCGTTTGCGGTGTCTGAAAATCTCCGCCTCTACGTCATTTTTTTAAAGGAGAACAAATTGATATAATTTCTTCAAGTTTTTGCAGAATTTTCTTCGCATTGAGAAGAAAAATCATGACAGTTTTAAAGAATTGCCGTTGAGTAGTTTTCCATTTAAAAAATAAAGTATGACAGGAAGTCTGCGACGTCGCAAACCGAGTTATGTGATTGCCGACTTTCACCGTCGTTATATTTATTGAGGATGGATATCGAAGATCATCCTCCGAAAATTTCGAGAAAATCCAAAGGGGAAATTTCATGCAATGTTGTTGAATTGCTCCATCATCCATAATTCGCGAGTCGCGTAAATTCAGGGCAGGCTCTCAGGTTTTCAAGTTTTCATTCGTGCATCCCCTTTGACGCATAAGATATTGAGTACGCACACCCAGAATCATCCTTGGAAATTTTCGAGAATATCCAAGGGGGAAATCTCCAGGAATGTTGTCCCATTGCTGCATCATTTATAATTCGCAAATGGCGTAAATTCAGGGCAGGCTCTGAGGTTTTCAGATTTTCGTTTGTGCATCCCCATTGACGCATAAGATATTGAGTATGCACACCCAGAATCATCCTTGGAAAATTTCGATAAAATCCATGGGGGAAACCTCAAACAATATTGCCGCATCCATCGTCAATACAAGACAAGTCGCGTAAATTCGGAGCAGGCTCTGTCGTTTCATCAATTTCATTTGTTTATCCTATTTGACAGGATTATATTTATGGGGGATGGGCATCGAAGACCATCCTCTGAAAATTTCGAGAAAATCCAAAGGGGAAATGTCATGCAATGTTGCTGAATCGCTCCATCATCCTAATTCGCGAGTCACGTAAATTCAGGGCAGGCTCTGAGGTTTTCAAGTTTTCATTTTTTCATCCCCTTTGACACATAAGATATTGAGTATGCACACCGAGAATCATCCTTCGAAAATTCCGAGAATATCCAAGGGGGAAATCTCTAGGAATGTTGTCGCATTGCTGCATCATCCATAATTCGCGAGACGCGTAAATTCGGAGCAGGACTGTCGTTTCATTAATTTCATTTGTTCCTCCAAGTTGGAAATTTTTTTTATTGAGTATGGACCCCCGGAATCATCATCAGAAAATTTCGAGAAAAACAAAGGGGGGTATCACGAGCAATGTTGCCGTTTCCATTATGATGCATGATGATTCTTGAATTGGCCGCCAAGAATTTTTTTTTATCTTTATTTCAGCTAAATTTTTCTTGATACATGAATGAAAATATTGAATTAAGCATATATATAGTTTGTAATAACCAGATTATGATCAGAATTCTTGATTCAAGAGAAAATACTTCTTGGCGGCAAATTTGAGATTTTTTTTTTCTTCCAGTGATTATTTACTGGGACGTAGCCCCTTAGTGATTCAAAATCTACAAAACTTCATCTCTCTTGTGTGAAGAGGTTAAGATTTTAGTAATCTATTTTAAATACTGCAAAACGTTCATGGTTTAAAATTAATGAGTTTCTCACTCATGGTCACTCTTATTTTTCAACCAATGTTCGTCGTTGTTGAAAATTGAATGTCTCTTTTTACAACGTTGATGATTTCTTGTCACATTGCCTGTATTACTTACAAAAAGATAAGGAACATTATTTCTTGACATTTTTGCTGGTTATCCTGCATCATGTGCAGAATATTTGGTAAAATTGTGAATAATTCACTGATTTTCATTGTAAGGATAAAATTTAAATGAAAATGAAACATTATCAGCTCTTCTTGAAACATTCCAAATGAGGAAAGTGTTTTGAGACTTTCGCCATAAAGCCATCTCAAGACAATCAGATTCAGAAAATAGGGAGAAATAAAAAATTTGTGGCCTTCAGGAACAAAATGCGACTAAGTATTACTAGTCAATAAATGACTGGAAGAAATTTAAAACACACATGAAAAAATATTTCACTCACTAATATTAGTCATAAGAAAAAATGGTGTATGGAAAAAGAGATGTTGATAAATAGACATAAGGTAGTAGAAAAAAGAAAATTGATTTAAGTTCTTGAAAACAAAACAAAAAATCAGTAATTCCCTGTTGACTTTCTAACGTAATGATATTTCAAGGGGATACAAGTACAAAATATGGGTTGAACATGCTAAAGAAAGGCTCAGGTGAAATTTGCCATATTTGCACTGTTAGTCTAAGAACGAGCTTGTTTACATGAGCGCATGAAATTTATTCAAGTTTCCGAAAATAGGAACAAAAATCAGTGTTACACTAGCAACTCAACGACGCATTCAAACACTAATAACTGAATATTAAAATTAGCAAGTAAACAAAATGACCATTATATATATATATATATATAGTTTAAAAAGGGCAGTAAGAGAGAAGTAAAACAGTTTTGCGCAGCGTCAATTCAGTCTAAAAGTAATCATTGAGGAACAAAAATAGTTGGTATTTTCTTTCGAGACCTGAGTTCTAGGCTGCCTGCTTCAAACATCTGAAAACATGAGAAAAGAAATAATCATAAACTGTCAAATGAGTGGTATAGCAGAGCTAGTTCCGGTTATTAGAGTAATAGTCATTCGATCAGACAGGGTTGCCACAAAAATTGGAAAATGAAATTCCCTGACATTTCCCTGTTACATTTTGGTGAAATTCCCTATCAATTGAAGATATGGCAAATGGCTAGGAGGACATAATTGAAAATAGTGTTTGGGCAAAATTTGTAGTTTGAGACCTCAAACCCAGTTTAGAAAGCAAATAAAGAAGATTCAACTTCCCTGACATTTCCCTTTACTTCCCCTTTTCCTTGACTTTATGAAATTCCCGGACTGTGGCAACCCTGCCCCTTATGAGGTGTTGCCAAGTTATGTAACCCATAATTCTAAGTTTCATAATTCATCTTTTCTGGCATTTATCATTTCGTAATTGAGTCATGTCATGCGAAAGTCTGTAATGTATATTTTCCCAGCTTTTAGTTTTCTTGTGCTTATAATAATTTTCAAGATTTGACACCACCATCAAAGTGTAAAACGAGTACATTCATCATTAAATTCAACTCTTGAATGTATTATCAACTCAAAAAAACTCAAGACAGGAAGAATGGACATGAGCGGCCTCTGCATAAAACGATTGAAATTTGTATAGCTCATGATAAGCCAAGGATTAAAAACATCACTGGTCAAGAGGACCACACACCTTGAGATCGAAAAAAGTAATTCTATTATTACCAACCGCTGCCTCACCAAAAGTTTTTTTTCTTTCTTCCTACAAAGAACATACGTGTCTCTTATGCCATTCACTGTCATCTGCCGATTTCTAGTTGGCTGAAGTTTTCTGTATTCACAAGTCCACTGGACAATGAACTGCTTTACCGGTACACTCTTTGAAGAAACTCAATAATCTTCCATTACTTTTAATCCTCCTTCAGCTTTGGCTTCAAAACATCACCTTAGTGGAATGCAAATAGTCTAGGACTTCATTGACGTTTTGAAAACTTGACTTAATTATATCAGGCCAAGGCTTATACCCTTTATTAATGGGAGATCTCCGTATTTAATTTGCCATTTTCCCCTCGAAAGCTCCTCTTATCTCAATTTCAAGGATATGAAGGTGGAATGAACATGCATGAAATCTCTCTTCAAAATTTTCTGGAGGATAATACCGTCATCATTAAATTTACACAAGTTTCGTACCTAATCCTCATTGGCAACCGTTTCGTCACCACAAGCTCCACATTTCCAATTGACAAGTTCTCACTTCCGAAAATTTGTAACTGTAGCATCCATTTCATCTCACCGCATTATTTCGAAACACATCTCAGTTGACGAATACGAAAAGTGTCCTCAGTATCAGAAAATTTAACACAACAAAAATAATGAACAGCTAGGTCATTGCACTATTGAAAAACTTTTTAAGCAGATTTTCTCGAGGAACTTTTTAAATCTTGTCCTCATAGACCATACTCGAGAAGATGGGTGAAAACAAAATTTGTAAAAAAGCTGATTATCTTGAATGACTAACCTGAAGGAGGAGTAAAATCTTAAGGAAAAACCCTTCACTTCCAAGAATGATTTACTACGTATACAATTTTTAAGTGTACTGGCAAAAAATTGAAAACTCACCTAGTTATCAGGCTTGTCGCAAGAGCTGCATCCCGTATAATCTACTGCATCTGTGAATGAAAAAAAAACATCCAAGTTAACTAATCAGGGAATGTCGTACAGTTCAGTACATAAGTGTGATTTTGAAATCACAAATTTGAAAAACAGTAAACGTCAGTCAATGATTATATTTCACTGTCGACACAACTACATATATCTATCATCATACTTTTCTAGTCAATGTTTCCGGCTTGTGATAACATAACGAGCACCTAATGAGTAGAGTTTGTTTCATTTTGAACCTCAGCATTGAGTATTCGAAAGTAAAAGATTGTATACCGAAAATTTTATTTCAGAGAAAATCCCTAATTGAAGATTCAACACCATGTACTTCCTCCATTACTTAAACTGCGCCTAAAATCTAATTCCTTTGTGACTTGCTGAACCTTTGAAAAGGGGTACGGAAAACAGCAGATGGCTGCCCTGTGCGGGTTTCTAACATATTTTTTTTCTTTGTTTTTTTGTTTGAAAACATGCACAAGTTCTTTTATTGGCAAGAGACTTTCTGCTGCTGAGATGATATGTTCCTTATTATTTAAGTTTTTTTTTCAACATGAATGGTAATTGAGAGGGGTGGGTTTGTAACTAAAAACATGTCGCCTTTCTCATTTTAAACAGAAAAATTAGAGTACTGAAGTCTTTGTCCATTAGTTGCCAACGCATAGATGATGCAGGGGTAGAGATGACGACTATACAGTGGATCAGGGTTATATGTTCCCCCATAAACATGAAAACTTTGTAAAATTCGCATTCCATTCTCTCTCTATGATCTTTAGTTCATTTCTATTGTACAGAAACATGTATAAGCTACATTCATTTTATTGGATATGCCATCTTACGAGGATTCAGAAATCTTGTACTCCTGAAAATGGGCTTAATGGCACTAATGCCTGTTTACCAAAAATATCCTTAATAAATTTGTTGTCACTTCTGATATCCAAGTCTCCTCTTTGCTCTTCATTTACCGGCAAAAATGTAATTCTCCCCTGAATTCATTCAAGCAACCATGAGACACTACAGCCTGATTGTTAAAGCTTTATCAGGCTTTGTCAGCAGGCTAACACATGATAATCTTTTAACTGATCGATTTTTTAAGTCTTTTTGTGCTGACATGAGCATCAATAATCAGGCTACTGGTCAACAGACACTTCGGATCGCCTAAAATTTGTCACTGATTCTAGGTGGGCTTTTCGCAATGATTTTGAAAAGGTGCATTTGACAATCACCTACTTCCAATTGGGGAAAGAAAAGAAGACACATATGTCACATCCGAGAATCACACAATTCAACATAAATTTAGATGGTAACAAAATGATAACTGATCCACTCAGGTTGATGCGATAATTGGCTCTTCTTTCCTTTCCCCTGTCCTGTATTATTTACTCAGTTCCCAAACAACTGAATTTCCTGTGGTAAACTGCGACTTTTTTTGGAGTACATGCAAAATTTGATTTTTCCAAGCATACCGTGAGGATCCAGAAAACCCAACGTAAGTTTCGAGATCAGCCCTAAAAATACACCTAGAAAATTACATTCCTTCTTGTGATGACTTTTTTTCTCTTTTTGATACAACCAATTTGAGCTTGGTTCATCTAGAAGATACGCTATCAGAGACTTGCAATTGGTCTACTGTCCTCTGAAAATTCTGTGTTTCTGCAACCCATCAACAATTTGGATCCAAACAAATACACCTTGAAATTAATTACTGTGCCCTTCTTTCCTTTATTCATCTGATAAAATAGTGATAAAATCTGTATTTTTATGGTTGCCAAGTTCCGATGTTGTAAATACTTTCACTTACCAGTTCTCAATGTGTCTGCGGATGGCGGCTCCTCTTCAGAACTGATTGTTATTTCTCCTGCAACACGAATTTTTAATAGTAATAATTAAAAGAAGGAACCTTTATTAAAAGAATTACAGTAACCCCTAAAAACAGTAATCCTGTTTAACAACATAACCTCATTTGGTAGGGAGTGTACACTCATGAAAAAGGAATGCCGAAACACACTCAGCTCTTCCTGGACCAACTTTGAAAAAAAACTTTGATTTTCCGCTACTTTGAACAACTTCTCAGATAAAATTTGATTAGATGAAAAACAAAAAGGGGCGAGATTCCCAAAATACTGATAAATTTTGATAACAAGTTCGAAAACTTAGATAACGGATTTGTTGGAAGTAAAAATTCTTCGTCTCAATTGCCAAACCTAATTCTGGAACCAACGCCTGCTTAAAATTACAATTTTTCTTGTGATTTTTCCTTCCAAAAGACAATGGACAAGATCAATTGGACACAGTCCAATAACAATGACTTAGGAGACTGTGCAAACAATTGAACTTAATTATCAGCTGCAAATCTACTGCATCATTTATTTTTTTTTCCTCCTATACATATTTATTTTGAAGGCCAAATATAACCCTATTTTCAGTTTCTTTAAAGAACAGAGTGATTTCTTAATCCTCTGAAAGCACCTGAAGGAGACTAATATTTAACCCCCTCTGAAAATGCTCAAAGGTTCCTCGACAAAAATGCCACAAGATGGAGGAGCTTACACCCCAAAATGTCCTGCTTCATTGAACTCACATAAAGAAACTTCACGTCAATTTTCCTCTTGAAGTAATGGTCTGGCAAAACTCCTTGTAGTTTTATAATTAAAATGTTATCCTTGCAACTGCTAAATAGTGTTAATTCTCTGACAGAGGAATGTTGATCCTACAGTTCCTCTTACAAGAGAATAAATTAAAGACATTCTCTTTTCCCTTTTAGAAAACAGACGTGCATCATTCCCTAACGGCAACGATGAGGAGGGCACCTGAATTATCAAAGTTCTTCCCCTGTTGCCAACTATGATTGCTTATCGTGACAATTCACGATGGAAAATGCCACCAATCAAAAAAGTAGACGTTGAACTGTCTTTCTTAAATACCCCTCAAACATGTATCATTGTCCGGTTCTCAGAAAATATCAGGAGAGGGAGAGAAAATGAGGTTCTAAGCCAAGTTATGGCAGCCTTTGTGCTATGGATAGTCTAGATGTATTGAGTCTTTCCTTACCTCCCCTCAAGTACATCATAATCGTTGACAAATTGCCAGCCTCTTTAACTGAAATTTGTTTTTTGAACTGCTATGAATTGGACCTACTACATTCCAACATATGAAAATAGGAATATGAAGTGCACATCCTATTCCACTTGTAATTTTTTTTCGACTGTAACCATTACAACTTTACTTATGCACGAGGGTCGTTCCAAATAAAAGTATCTTTTTGCCGTAACTTCTTAACTACTGCATAAAATAAAGGTCTGAAAAAAACTCTTCATTGGTCATGATGTCCCCTTTCTTGCAAGGTTTTATTTTTCCTTTAAAATTTGGTTCAGCAGAATGTCAAAAAAGTTGTTTTTATGAACTCACCTACAGACCACATGGGTCCAAAATTTCACGCTACCAGTCCGTCCGAAATTTAAACAAGACGTGAGACAAAATGTAACGTTGGACAAGCTTATTAATCCCCTCAGCATACAACTCCTTATAGATGAACGATATTTCTGGGTAACTCAATGATCCGATAAGAAAGCCCCCTAGAACGCTTGTGATGCAATTTCACAAAAAGTAGCTGAAATACAACTAATACCACGCTGATGTCCACATTGTGGTGCATCTTTGGTGATCTTATAAAAAAAGAACCTTTAGCTAAGAATTGTGGCTGTCTGATGTTACAAAATCCTGATTGCACTTTGACACCGAGTAGTTGCTGCAGCGATGTACCGACATGGAATTTTAAACCTGTTTGGTGGTGAGGTGGGTTCACAAAGAAACAACTTTTCTGCCATTTTACTGAACAAAATTTAAAATACTATAGCTCGTTAAAAAGCTGACACTATGACCAACAAGCGGATTCTTACGGATTTTAATTTTATGCAGTAGTGTAGAAGTTTCGGCAAAAAGATACTTACTTTAGGAAGTCTCTTCTATTTAAAATCTGCCGGTTTCATTCACCGTTGTAACATTTTTCTTCATCAACTTGTTCCTGCAACAGTTCCACGGTTCCGACCAAGTCTAAACCAACCTTGTGATAAGAAATGTGTTATCTACGGTGCAAATTTTAATTCCTAACCCTAGCTTCCTCCTCAAGAATGGGAAATATTAATACTGTGAGTAATTTCCACAATAATATTAATAAGATGTCTTACCCAGACATCATGGCTTCTGTGGAGGAATCGATGCAGGTGCTGGAGGTGCTGGTTGCAGTGGAGGTTGTGGTAGAGGCTGCAGTGGAGGTTGCTGTGCAGGTTGTGGAGCAATTATTTCGGTGGGTGGTCCTACATGCCCACGGCCCCAGCTTGTCCTCCTCCCACGCATTGGAATGTCTGAAAAAGAGAATCCAATAGTTGATCAAAAGATGAATTTTCATAAATAAATTGAAACAAAAAAAGCACTTTGGAGGACCAGAAATAACTTCCCAATACTGCCTATTTTTCCTACAGTGAACGACTAATACACTTTCATGTTCTTAACGAAGTTGGAGGCAACTGGAAAATTATCTACTTTAAATAACATAACCTTTCAACTAATTATTTACTTGCTTAGGACACTAATTACTATCAGATGATTGTTAATGATGACAAACCAGAATTATCCTCTTCTTCATCAGAATTGAAGGATGTACAGTTCAAGCATTTTTTACAACCTTCCTTTTCTAAGAAATCCTCAGAAATATCGCGATCCCAAAGTCAACCACAAATTGGGTACTTCCTTGAGAGAGAACATTTTGAAGGAGTGACTATGCATTCCGTCTCAATTTGTGTCAACCTCATTTCCCCCTTCATGCTTTTCTATTAGTTACTGCCTTTCCACTGAAGCGCATCCCTTTGTGCCAAAAAAAAAACTGCAAAATACACCATGTGATTGGAAATATGAGTTTCTTTCAGTTACTCCCTCATTCATCATCTAGAAAACTAAAATTTAATTTAAAAGCTGATGGGGCAAAAGTTTGTGCAGATTTTTTTCTTCATACTGAAGTCACTTAGCCATTAATGACTGACATCTATGATGTTCTAAAGGTGGAACTGCTTTTCAGTCTTGTCAATCTACAAACTGTCCTGTAATAATCCTGTGAAAAGATGCGATTAATCAGAAAAAAATCAGAAAAATTATTTTTCTTGTTCCATCTGTAATTTTAGGAAACAGATTATCATGATTTATAGAATTAAATAAAGACGTAATTTACTTATCTATCACAGAAAAATTGATTCCACCAATAATAATCTTTATCACAACAGCTACAATACAAGCTAGAGGAGAATCTAAAATAAATAAACCCAATACAATTATTAAACAAATGTTAACATATATGTGATTTATAAAAAAAATTTAACTTAATAAGTAAGATAATATTTGTAGCCCAAAAAGTTGCGGTATTAAAAACTACAGAAAAAGGAATAGTTTTCAACATAGAGAACATAGATGCAGAAACATAGGAACATTTCAACATAGGTTCATTCATAGAAATGCAGTGTGACATCTTGTCAATGATACATAGGCAGTATGTTCTGGCCTTGACAGATGCTAATTTATGTAATTTAAGGCTGCTTCTGCTTTTTTGAGCAATAAATGGAGAGAGAACATTACTAGTGCTACTGTCTCAAAGTTTAAAACCCACTTTTGGCACTTGGCACCAGGAAATGCTGGTTGTCCTCTTTGAGTCAGTGGGTTTTCTGCCTCAGAAGAATGATAAATTATTGACCCATTATCGGAAGTGATTTTATCAATTAGTTTAATAAAAAAAGGGATTCCCAGTTTTAAACTCGAAGATAAATAATTTACTAATTCAATATACCCTCTTTGTAACTATTTTCCTCCAACACATCTTGGAGACTGATTTCTTTCTAGAATTTGTTTCATATGCTGACTAGGCAAAACCAAGAAACATTGGAGGAAGTATAGGGTGGTTGTCATTGAGAAAAAGAAAACCAATTCCTCAACTTCGGGAAAATGGTACGTAGCTGAAAACTCATCGTTTTGCCTTCAGAAAGGAGGGAAGGAGTACCGTTTTGAAAGTGATTGGATAAAATATGTTTTTTCATCTTTAAGTTCCTTAAAAATTATTTAATTAATTAGATACTATTTCCAAGCTGTAGCAACTTTTCAATGGGGGAAGAATGCAATTTCTCAATTTTTAAATTTCCCTGTTGGTTATTGCAAGGTATCTACTGCACCACTTACATTGATTTGCCCAAAATTTGTTTTGGGTTCACATCACTCCTGAAGCATCACATGGAAGGGAGGGGGAGGGGGTGTCATCCACTTGATTTTCAAAAAGGAAAAAAATAAGAAACATCCTACTTCATATACACAACAGCCATTATTTCTTTGAGAGGCAACTGAAACTGTTTTCTTGTGTGCTGTTTAAGGGGGCAGTTGGTCATGTTCAATAGTTGAACGATGACATTTCCACACTTCATCTACGGATAGTTTCTAGTGTTCATCTTCACTCAACAATAAAAGGGAATAATGACAAAGATACGTACCCTGCCTTGGAGAAACGATGTCCGCGTACGATTCTAGGATTTGAATCGCTTGCTCGACTGATCCTCCTGGGAAAAAAAATATTCTATACTTACGGGTGGAAAAGTTATATTATTTACTGCCTTCATTTTAACTAGATTGTGGTAAAGTTCCGCTAAAGGGCTCATTCAACTTTTCAATTTTTTGCCGTTTTTGACGATTTTTTCTCGTCACTCTTTCTCGATAATTGTGCAACAGAGGAGAATATTACAGTACATCTTTTCAAAAATGCACGCTGTTTGTAGGTTAACTCAAGTTTTACAAGAGAAAATTTGAAAGAATCTCCTACAAACTGGCCAAAAATGGCAACAATGGACCAAAATACCCCTCACATTTCACTGGACATCATTTAATTTTAAAGGCAAAATATGGAGCGTCTCAAAAAATACATCCGTGTCACCTCTCAACAGAGTGATAATAATCGAAAAAGTGTAAGAAAATAAATTCGTGTTTTTCCAAGAATTGGGTTTTAGGGACTGCTGCTTCCTTCTATTGGCTCTGCTCAGTGAAATATTTGGCGTGCAGTCTACCTGGGCCTATAACTTTGGAAATGAGAATTGTGTAGCAAAACTCAGGCGCAGGCAGGAAATGTCCTTAACGCTACGCATTATACAAATCTGCAGTTGTCCCTGAATAAGATAATCGTTCAGAGGGCTATCTTTTTCTTCTATTGGCTTATTGACTTATATTCCTTATGTGAAACCAACAGCCATCTATACACAAAATTTCATACTTGATATTATAAGAAATGTAGGGGTAAGGAAATGTTTTATAGATAGAGTAATTTGTTTGTTGAAGCCGTCACCATTTTCACGCCTAGAGACCCTTCTAGCCGACTTCCTATATCGGGATATACTGGGTCATGGAAAACATTCAAAATGAACATACGGAAGATTTAGGATTTAAATTCTTTATCTTTTTTTTTGGATTTTAAGATTTTGGAAGATTAGGATATTGACTACTAGCCTCTGGAAGTGGATATCGGACGATTTTATTAAAGAATATGACTAAGAAATAAAAATTGTTAGGTCTTCCTGTAAATAGTTAAAAATATTCCTAAAGCAACCACCTGCAGCAACCAGGTGGTATTTACTCCTAAAAAATAACTAATACAGTCGGATATAGCTTATACTTCTAAGTATTTTTTTTTTTTTTTAATTTTTTATTTTTTTTTTTCTTAAAAAGATTTATATTATTGACTTCTAAAAAATTAACAATGATTTAATATATCTTGGGATCTGGGGTGTGAAGTATCTTTGGGACGTTGAATGGAGGAAAGTAGTTATTTTCAATTAGATTTTGAATCATCATATCTCGATTTATTAGATTTTGACATTCAAATTATAAGTGGTTTAGGTCACCATAGTCTACATTCGCATAATTCTGAGTCTTTCAGATTTAATTTCTTTAAATGAACTGGGAAGTTTCCATGTCCTATTCGAAGTCTAATTAAGTTTTTTATTTCACTATGATTCCATTTTAGTTCATCAAACCAAGGTTTTTGATTAATTTTTGGGCAAATTGATTTTTTCGTAAGGCTATCAATTACCGATTTTGAAAATAAATTTTAAATGTTTTTCTCTAAATCTCCGATTTTCCATTCTCCTACATACTGCTTTAGACAATAGTTCAAAAGATTGCTAATGCACCATCACAATAACCAACCAATAATATGCCTCAAGGCATGGAAACGGAAAAATGAAATAAAAAGATCCATCGATGAGTATGAGAGCTTCACATAATAATAACCGTTTTCGTCATGTTTCCTGCTGTTTTCATGTCAAGAATAATTTTCTTACAATTTAAATAAATATCCTTACTCGAAACATGCTGAACTGGGTAATCTGTTGCAGCCTCCATTGTGTGGGGGAAAATTCTCTCAAGTTCAGGCGGTAATGAAGAGAATATCCCACACTACATTGAGAGCCCACCTCCATATCTTTTCTAACACTCCATGCACAGATAGAGATCAAATACATTAGCAGGGTTGCCATGGCTCCAGTCTTGGACTCTTTGAACAAAATGGCAACCCTGCGAATGTACTTGCTTCCTCTCTGTGCATGCATGGAGAGTTTGACCAGATATAAAGGTGGATTCTCACCGTAACATGAGACATCACCTCCATTACAGCCTTAACTTTACAGCTTTTGTGCGCTTATGAATTTATTTCAGAGAAAGCAAGTTACACCACCCTGTTCTCCGCAAAATTTAACACAAGGGGAAGCCTTTAAATAAGAACTGCCTGACACATGCAAGAATTCCTTTGCGTTACGATCCCCTAAAGGGAGACATTCAGGATCTGTTAGATCACTTCCTCATACTGTACTTTGCTAAGTTGCAGAAACTCCACCTTCTGAAGTTTCATGAAAAGGATTGCTGCCCTTATACTAAATAAAATTCCTCAATGTTAACAGAAAGCTGTGTAGAAACAATTTATTCTTCATGATAACGACATAGAAAATATTACCAGCATGGAGAGCAGCGGACAGAACGTAGTTTGGCGGGGCGGTGCTCCGTTGACCAATTGCAGATCTGATGAGTGTAATTGCATGGGCATGGCGGCCCATTCTTGGGTTGACCTGGAAACAATCAAGAAATAACAACAGATGAAAAAAAATGAACAAATAAAACATAGAACAGAAAGTCACTGGGGTTGATTCTGGAGAAAGGTTGTTCCTAAAATCACATTTTCTCTCCTCCCCTCCCCCATCTTACCTTAACTGTTGTCCCTGGTGCTTTGGAAAAATTTCAGCCTCTACAGATAGTTACAGACTTCAGGAGGAAGTCAAATTCTCCTACTTGCAAAAATTAAAAAAATTGTATCTCTGCCATGGCTTGTATGTTAGTGTCGCACCTTGCGTTCACAAATGTTGAGAAATATTCTCAAAAAATTGCCGAGGTGCTTTGGTAATTCCATAATTTATTACAAGGCATTATCTTATTTTTGATACTGAACGTCGATTTTGTACCCTTTTAACTATTCTCCTCTGGCTAAATCGTTGCTGATAGAATCAACCAACTTTGCAAAAGTTCTAGGAACAAATGAGTATATCTGCAGATACTGATTCCACTTCACCTCAGTTTGGGAAATTTGAAGAATAGACCGTGGGTGTGTAGGTTTGAAAGTTAATCTAGATGAGTTTTCGACAATAAAAAGGAGAAAAATGATGAAATAGCTTAGAGAATCCAATGAAAACTTCACAAAACTTCTCTGATATGATTAACTTAATTTTCAGATACTGTATGGGCAAAAAATTCGAAACTACTCCTACTTTTCTAAACGATTTGGGTTTCCTGCAATTTACAGTAATTTGAGGGTAGATCTGTTTAAAATGCTTAACATTAAGGTGAATCCAGGCTTGGAACTTCACGATTTGGCCACCACGTCGCGCTGCTCCGAATAGCTGCATATATTTGCCAAAGTAATAAAAACCGTGATACTTATTCAAGATTGGAGATCCAGGGGATATGGCAACATACGTGAGAAACACTCAGTAGAAAAATCTTCTCAAATTCCCATAAATAAAGTCTTAACTACGGCGGAAAGTAATTCCCATCGGCAATGGGAGAGAGAGAGAGACAGAACATGAGAGATTCCGTTGCGCGCTCGGCCACCGCCTCTGACCTGAAAGTTTCAGCCGTACTTTCTCTGCGCTTGTAATTCTAGTAGCCAATATTTTTGGCTCAAAAAATCAAGCAAAAACTAATCTATATCTTGTGGATCTGCTTTTTGTAATTCGAGAAATATTATTTCAGTAATCGTCGAAGGAAAGTGAAATTCTCAGTGGGGACTGGTGGCGCTATCTCTAATCTTGAATTATCCCTAATCGAACCCTGGATTCACCTTAATTGATGATATTCATTAAATCCAACCTCCTTTCTCCTTCAAGGCAAAAGTTGGAAAATTTCATATTTCAAAAATCATTTCCTAATGAGGATCAATTAATTTGAAATCCCAATAAATCTCAAATTTAGAATTACAAATTTAGAGACTTCCGTCAGTTGGAGAGGGATGGAGATGGTGGCGCGAGAAAGTAAAAACTTTTTCGTGACCGCACTTAGAACCCTAATACGTCAATCAATATCGTTCCTTCTGTGATTGACTGATTTGGAAGCAATATCATATCAGACTGTACATCCTTCAATGGTTGCTTTCCATCCTTCAGAGAAATTATGGTGTTCTTTGGGTTATTCACATGTTGTGTTGTGTGCTTTGTAAGAGTTGTTCCATTTTCAGAAATAATCTAGCTCTGATTATTTTCACATTTCCATCACACGAACCTCCCCACATGTCCTCGCCTGGAGGACTTTTTCCCCTCAGATGAGAAGACTTTGTTCCCAGGTGATAAAATCTAACATCAATTCAATTATTGTAAAGGGAGTAAATAACACTTTAATATATAGTGCTACGTTAAAATTTAACTTCACATTTCATGCACAGTACATGTTTTGGATTTCTTAATGTTTTTGTTTGAGCCACTGTTGGATCGGCAGTTTGATATTGTAGTGAATGGCGTTTACCGCTGAACTTTTACTTCATCATTCGAAATAACATTCCAGAAAATTGACTAAAAAATAAAAAATGATGAATGAAAAAAGTTTTGAAGGGTCATAAGAACTGACACATCAGCAGCCGTGTGTGTGTGAGAAGTCTTAGTTGCACAAATTGCTATCATTTTCATATTCTCACTTGTTGACATTATTCAGCTACAACTTAGAGAAATTCCGCCTCAAGAAAATATGAAAAACCATCTGAAAAATATATAATACAGTACTCACACTTAATATTCACGTCCAACTGGATATTTGCATCTTCCAATTTATTAAGTTAGCAAAACAGACAAAAACCAAGCGAATAACTAACGCACGAACGAAATGTAGCTTCCGATTTTCCGACAACCTAAAAACAAACATTAAAACCATTAGTAAAACTACAAAATATGAGACAGTACTTGTAACCCCCACATGGAACTGCGTCATAAAGGTGTCTGAACATTGTGCTGCGTATTCTCTCATCTAAGAAGAGAAGAAAGGGAGCTAATCAAGGTTCCTTTAGAAATCAAAGTAGACATTTATTGCAAATGGTGCTGGAGACAGACAAAAAATTATCACCATTCACTGAGCAGGAGGATCATTAATTATCCTGAAGCTTCTACTGTCATCTAAGCAACGCCAACTATTTGATGCTGCAGTTTTTCACTGGTTACTGAAGTTCCAGAGGATACCCCTTTAGATTTAAAATCATCACTTCTCCTTCATTTAGATGATGCATCATGGAGAGACGAATCGAAGAACACTTTTTGTCAGTTCCTCAATTTCCAAGCACTCAAGAGGAGTGAGAGATTTTAGAGACAGGTATCAAAGAGGTACTAACATTGAAATTTAGTTACTCATATGGTGGACTCGATAGCTGGAAATGGGGTAAAGGGAGTCAATGAAAAATTCGAATGATCTGTTACCCTTCGGACAGTTAATGTTACAATCCCCTGGTGTTTCATTGCTTTCCATACCTGGTTTGCACCGTAAGATTCTTCACCTACGATAGTCTTAAAAGGGCATAAAAAAATATTTAGTGACCGTAGAGATAAGTGGTAATACTTACATCTGGCAGATTTCAAATAATTGTGAAACCTGAGAAAAAAATACTGATTAACTTAGAACCGTCTTGCTATGGAGTCAAGAACAACGCAGAAGGACTGACAATGAGACACATGGCCAAAGTACAAAATCTTTTTAAAAGTTCACGAATCGCCTGAACTTCAGTTACATTTCTTGAATTAAAAAGTTTAGTTTAAAATCTAAGAGCATTAATGGCAGCGAGAATTTTTAAAAAACACTTTTCTGAGAGTAGTGTTAAAACCTCAATTTTGAGATCTTCAGAGTCTTAACTGGCTTATGACTGGAACAACAATTCACTTTTTTTCCGAATTTTTTCAAAAACACAGTAATTTCCCTGTGATAAGAGCTTGAGTTCACAATTTTGGATTCTCGTTTCAGAAAGACAGCGATTTCGTTTGTAAACAAGATGTTTTCTTACATTCAACGAAATATCAAAAAATGTTTCTTTATTTCTTTAAATTAACCGCTGCCTCTTATCAGTAGAGAAGAATTCAAGCACTTCCAAGGCCTTGAAAAAAAAGTCAGAACCAATCCCTTACGAAGGTAGAACGAATCGTGAAGATGGGATGCCATGATACTCACTTTAACCAGCATGTGCTTTTCGGTGGGTGTCAGGTACATCTTTGTTTCGAACATGTGCACACACAGTTTGACAACATCGGACAGAAGCTCTTTGTAACCGATTATATTTTCCAAATTCTCTTTCACCGTGTCTCGAATTTCGTTCTGTGAAGCGAGAAACATGGATGAATTCTGCGACTCTTGCAGGGTGTGTGAATCT